AAGGGTTTGTTCTCCATTGGAGAGCTGAGGGGAGAAGTTTTGTCTGTGTGCTGCGACCGAGAGGACCGCTTGGTGGTCTCCACCCAGACGTCCCCATCAGTATCGAGGGATGAACGCTGAAAGAGCAGTGAAGAGGGGACGTTAAACAATGGCGGAGGAGGAGAAGCAGGTGATGGTGAAACAACAGTGCTGCGCGTACGCGGGAGACCTGCCAAACCGGTCGCAGGTCTACGCATCCCGCTCTACCAAGCCGTTGGGTAAAAGAGGCGAATAGGGTGCAGCACACACTTTTTTTATGAGAATAAAGCAACATCCTTCCGAGTAGCTAACTTATTAATGAAAAGGGTAGGGAAGAGTGCGGGGGAGGAGAGGGGGCTGGACTAGAGGGCGTCCAAAAACAGTAAGAATAATGCTAAATATGACTTACAGGGCATGGGATTAGGAACGTCCCGAGTAAGTAACGAAATTGGTTCTGTGCATAATAACAGGAAGGGTAATCTTGTCCCAGTGCTAACTCTAACAATAGACCTAATGTTAATCTTTACCGTAATTCAGAAAGCTATAGTTTACCTTAACCTTCGAACTAACCATAAGTTCCTTTGAATTTGGCGTAAAGCTACCTTTGTTAAGGGCGGTTTGTGTTATAGTGTTCGGTTTAGGGGGTCATATAAGTAATCCATGTAAAATTCGTAGTTGTTGGTCACTTCTGGACAAAAAACTGGCTTGAAAAGCATGCAAGCCCGCACGACGTGTATAAACTAAGCAGCGCAACTAGTCAATAAATGACGAGCATCCCGACTGCTTCGAAGACACGTAGTGCTGGCGAGCACTTTAAGTGAGCTATAATAAGGAGAATTTTCGACACATCTACAGTAGATTCCCTATCTCATGAAATTTCACCCGGAATTCTGAAATGCGTTTTCGTTTCAAACATATTGGTTACGTATGGTTTTAAAAATGACGATCGTACAACATCATCTCAATATATTTAGGTCACGTCAGGATGCCGGCTTTTTAACGAGGTTCTTTCTGACCGCTAAGTAAAAGTATGTAGTATAAAAGTGGCTACTTAAGTAGTATGCCTTTTGTCATTGATTTTGACTGCCTTTATAAATTCACAGATATTTTATGGAAAACATGCACGAAAAAAATTATTTATTGTATTCATTTGGTAGCAAATTACGCCTTCTGTAAATTTTATACCTAAAGAAAGGGTATCTTGCGGTTTTAAACAAGTTTCTAATTTTGAGCTTTTTTACAATTTTCAGCTGTTCATTCATAGAACATCGTATCTATGAATTTGTTAATGCTGCCTTTACTGTATAAAGCATGCTCTATATCTATCGCAACATTTTAGAAAACTATGTGAGATCTTCCTCAAGCTGTAGGCGAAAACGTCCTTTTCCTTAAACAGG